TCCCTCTTGCCCCGTCGAATCCGTCTGCTATCTCCCTGGTACATGTATTTCACTCGACCTCTGCCCCCCCCCATCTGTGCTATTCGATGCATAATTCGTCCATCCCTTACACCTAGGTGATTAATTAGAGGCTAAAGCCTCAGAGTAAGTGTCATGGTCATGCCTTTGCTAAATGGACCACATCTCTTCTAAAACCTACTGTCAGCCAACTAGCTCGAATCGCCACCTCGTCTATCCTGTCTCTATTCCTAATACCAAGTATATGACTTGTCATGCCCTAATCTCTTGTGTGCCAACCCACAAATGTTGTGGTACTGCTGGCTTTGTTTAGGTTCAATGTTGAACCACAATGTTAAACGGCGAAACGTCTGGGAATGTACTACGTCCACGGTCCTACTCTGGAAATGATTATGCATACAATGGACTCCGGACTAGGTGCTTTCCTTTAAGTCTTCCTACCAATATGGCCGAGTTGCGACAACTTCTAACATTACCCAAGTTGAAAAAACACTATCATCATGCGACATTCGCCATTTTCAGCCCTATTTTTGGTGGTTTTCATATCTTTCTTTATTCATTGACCATCTCCTTTATTTATATTTTAAAACTACAATCTCGATGTTTATCCTAGTGTACAGGCGGCAGACCCTTCTGTATCTACCAACCCAAGCTGGATGAGACATGTGATTCAGCCTTTGATTTCCTACAGTTTGAACGCAAGCTTGGATTTTGCCACTCATGCACAGATGGCCTTCGGCGATCTTGAACATTTTGAGGAAATTATGGTAGGTTATATATTTATATATAATATATGCATTTGTAACTATTTAACTCATAAGAGGAGCCCCCGCATAAGTATGTCGAAATTTCTTTTAGCTCTCTAGCATGATTATCTTATATGGAGTTCTAACTTGGGACCTAGCAAAAATAAACCGTTTTTACGACCATTCATCCACAATATTAGCTAGAATTTTGGTCTTGCAAGTACTTCAGTCTTAAAACCAATGTATGCATCTTATACACCATCCATGGTTCAGAGTTAACAGGCACCGATACTTTCGCCTTTTTTATTTTTAAAAGACTGATTTAGATACTTTTATTGAGTCGTCTAGACAAAATGGAAAGGAATCTTCAAACGGGATGAAGTCGCGCGTTTCGATTATCGTTTTGGTATTTGATTGTTAGGATAACTTCCACTTCTTTTAAAAGTGTCAGATGGAGTGATTCTAAGGCCAATCTCACCAAAACAAGACGGCGAATCATCCTTACTTACCATAATTTTGGACAAAACAAGGAATTAGTCAACTTTTTGGCCAGGTTCCTAGTGTTACCATCCTGCAATCTTTCAAGAAAGATAGGCGAATTTCTAAGGAAATGAAGTGTCAAGACAATGTATAAAGAAACAATAACGTTTTCCTTGATCATGCCCTCTTTTAGAGAATCTTCCGACACCCTCTGCACATCATGTTGTTATAAGGTTTTGTGCTCATTCGGTAGTGTTTATGTGGGGAGAATTTTCGATCCATACATGAGAGGCTATCAGAATACAGAACATCCTGCAAAGGTCTATGGATTTAGAAATCGGAAGTTGCTGAGCACGTTGTCACTACAGGACACCAGATAGAATGGTCTATTTCCAAATGTCTTGCTTTCGTCTGCATTGTGACAGGCAGGAATCCATACTTTACGAAATGGAGCAAAAATGAACTAAACCAAGAGAAACGGTGGACGGCTGCAACCCTAGTCGCTTTTATATACATCTAACTTCGCGATCTTAATGAGACATCCCATGATATAGTTGGCTACTTCAGCCTTACTCTACATGCTTGCAGATGAATGAAGCTACTTTACGAATTAGAAGTTCGTTCGGTGGAAGTTGTTTCAAGCGAGTGTGCGATCCTATAATGCTGACTTATTTTTGGGTTTGTGCTAATGTCTATTATGTGTAGGTAATGTTTATGTTATAAGAGGTGTGATAATGCTAGCTAAACTCGAGACTTATCCAGCCTCCTCTTGTTCTCTGGCTAGTCCTCCTCTTTCTTCCTCTCTCTCTCTCTTGAAGCCTATCCAATATCCACAGATATTTCATACTTAATTTTTTACACTCATTTTTTCAGGACATTGGCTGCTTTGTTAATTTTTATACACTACCTAATCTTACGCTTTGATGCAAAGTCCCCGAAACCAACAAAACCTTGTATTTTTGACCAGCCTATTATGTATCTTGTATTAGCCATGTATTCAGAGAGCTTAGATTTTTGGATTCAGAGACCTTTACAAGAGGTTTTATGTTAGCATGGTCTCTCCTGCACATTTCTATTGAGGAAGTTCTATCAAAGCACTTATACTTTGCCTTTCCAAATGCTAATGACTTCAAGGAGGAAATTTTGGCAGAATTAATACATTTTAGCTAGTCCCTTAGAGGATACTTAATGTAACATTGACTTACAAGTTGTCCCTTTAATTGATGGTCATGCAGAAGCATCATTTAAGAATAGGAAAGTTGATACTATTATAAGGAGGTTTAAGGCGAATGACCAATTTGTATCGAGGGAAGACAAAGTTGGGGCTATAGTAGTTTTGGATAAGACTGATTATTCAGAGAAAATGTTGCAGGAATTAGACTATGAAAGAACATAAACGATAATTAGGGACCCGACAGAAGATCTAAAGATCAGACTTATGCGTTATCTGCAACAAAGTCTAAACAGTGGAGAACTGGAAAAGCTGAAAAATGAACGCATTTATACAGCGAGATGCTAGACCCCCAAACGCGTATTGTCTGCTAAAAATGTACAAGGATTGTTGTAAATATTAGAGGTAGCGTGATGCATAAATCACGATTTATATGTACTCAGTAAAAACAAATATCAGAAACGTGGAAGTTTTCGGTTAAGGACTATAAAGTTAGTTGATATTCTGACAAGTTAGGATACAGCGTCTATGCACACTAACATTCAGATAAACTAGGATTAAAGACTTGGTTTTGTGACTTTAAGAGGCATTACTATTCGGACGGGTCCAACGAAATTCTTTACCATGCCTCCATTTATAAGTTAGGGGATACTTATGATAAGAGGAGTAATAAATTATTTAAGTTGATAAATATAAAGTGAAATCTCCGGAAGAATCTGTCCATGACTTAATAACGGAGAGACAGAGAAATATCGCTTAGATATGGAATTTTAAGATAGCATACACTTTTACTCGAAATGGGAGTAAGCTCAACAATTATGAAATAAGAGTCTCCTCGATACACAACTTTTCTTCGCACATGGGATCTTGTTTAGCCCCTATTTTAGCTAATACCCACATGGCCAGTGCGCTTGATTAATGCATTGTCTAGAGCGATAATGCCTACTGATCAATAGGATGATGGTGATAGTGATTAATTTCTCCTAGCTTCATTTTGATTCGGAAACCAATGTGATCCTCAAGAAAGGGTTAAATTTTCTCTCTCGATTGCAAGACATATTCTAGAGGACGTATTTGTGTAGGTCATTAATATCTTCGACAAGTTACTCGAGGCGAAAAAACCGGGATTGGAGGTGGATTTAATTTCCAGAATCTTTACACATTGAGGACCAAAAAAAAGAGAAGATTACAAATTATATTCAGAACCACAAAAGAAGGACCAATTCTTCCTTTAAGCAGAAAATAGAAAAGCGAAAGTGATAATGGACGGGAAACAATACACCTAGGAGATAAAAAGTATTACGAGACAGAATTTTCAAAGGGGAACTGCTGATGTTTGCAATCATCTAATATGGAGAAACACAAATTGGCGCAGTTTATATGAGATGTACTCACCATACTTTGTTTATAAAGATGATAAGAAGACTGGTGGTTGAATTTTCCCACAATCATATGAATAGACCTTACAGTTCCATTGAATTTCTCATTAGGTATTTTCATCCAGGGTGGACTGCAATCAAATATTAACTTGCTTCATCGGCAATCCCACCAACAAATGTGATGTGGGAACACGCCTGGCCTTCTTTAAAATTCACATCTGCCTTGTGACCCAAGGGTACTCGTGGCAATGTGGCACAGTAGTTAACCTGTTGAGCTTATACGCTGCATTACCCTAGTTCGAGTTTCTCTGGGGGTGTTAACTTCAATAGTAGCCTAGGGTATACTACAATTCCCTGTATCACCTTAACCACAATAGGATGAATATATTTCATATATATATATGATATTCGAACGAAAGAAGACAACACGACCAAGATGAGAAAACTAGGCCAGATTATTTCTGTACAGTGAAAGGAGACTGCGTCGAAAACAGATGCCACAATATCTTGGCCTTCATATTTATGATTTAATTTTTTGTCGTTTAAAACCATGCTTATTTACATTTGATTGTTTTGCATAAAAAGTGTTTGTTTTTTAATTATAAGGCGACGTTTCTTTCCTATCCTGTACAAATGGACTCATATCAAACAGGCGAAATCAAACTCATTCATTCATTTATTCTTACATTTATGTCCATCATCTTCAAGAAATTGTAAAGGTCAATTACAGCTTTTTTATTCCTCCAATGCCTTTTCTATTTGGTCCCCTGACCTTTTGCTAGGATATTCGTCTGCAAAACTTCTGTCATCACTGTTGCACCGCCAGCCTTATCAAACTTCCCATCCACCTATGTTCTCTCCTGTGTTCATCATCCGGTGATTCAAATCTGAAGCTCTCCCAACCCGATCCAATTTCCCTTCAGGTCATCCTTTTTTCTGACGCTTCTGCTGACACTGCTACTCTTGGTCTTTATCATGAAGATGATACCGACGCCAATTCTTTGGTTCACTTTATCCTGTCGCAACTTTCATACTATCTTTGTTCGGATTCCCCCGTCATTCATAGTAATATACCTTCTGTCCAATCTGCCAATTCTCTGGTCGATCATCGATTGACTATATGGCTCAGTCTGGTTCGATTACTGCCCGTCTTTTGGACCGAAGCTTCCTGGGGCTCAGATTCGGTTAGTGCATGATTTTTTTAGAGTGTATTTGTGCTTCAAGGCATTTAACTAGATGCATGTATATTTTTTTATCATCAAATGTATACACGTTATGGGTTGGCCCTCTTGACGAATATTTAATTTATTAATGATTATTAGTGATTATAAAAGTCGTATTGTCATAAAATCATTTTGTTTGTAAAAGTGGGTTGTCATGATTTATAAATAAGCCTCATTGAGAACCTAAGAAGGATTGCTTTTGAGTAGTTTGGGATTTGGGCTTGCGCAAACAAGTTCATAGAACATCGTCCTGCGGCCCTTATCCATCTTCACTGATCCTTTTTATGTCAGAATAAGAAAATGAAAAAGAGTCGTGCCAAAAATTATTATTCACTAAAATTTAACAAGGCATCACATCTTATTTACCCTACGCGTAGCTAATGCATTAGCTTATATGCGGGTTACATAAGAGATTATCAGAATATCAAACCTCAATGACTTATGGGTCCACAAATCAGTAGCTGAGCATATGGCTGTGATAGACATCGTCAG